AAACATCTTATATAATAGCAAAGCACTGACATTTCACGGCTGTGGAGAATATAATACAATGATAATGACTCGCCACCTCATACTGCAGCAAAAGAATCGCAAAGGAAGCGCCTGCCGCCTTTGTTAGTCATTTAGGTTGAACTCTCTGTCAGCCTGAAGGTTGAAGAGGTGGGAGTTGGTCACTTAGAGAGAGCCACATTGATCTGCTAATTTCTTAACTTGCATATGCATGACATCGATAAAGGCCAGAGGCGTTTTTTGCAATGTGTTGGATGACTCATTGTATTCTTCCCTCTCAGAATTAGCACATCCAATACATCTCGGTTCAGCACAATGCCACTCTGAGAACATCACTTTCTTTGCGCGGTTGTTGTCGTCCCACTCACTGAGGATATCATTGTTTATTAGGTCATAGAGTGGCTTGTAGTTGGAGGTTTTTTTCATCTACTGACAAGATGTACAACATAAATTATCCTTTAATCTGTATCTGTATCTCGGATGCATAATTTTCCCTGAAATTTAGTCTAAAAGTGTATTATATTCTGAATTTTAATGAACTATACCTCATTAAAAATAAGCCCATTAACATTATATTCCTTAAAAAATGTAAATAGGCTTATTTAAACCTTATTTCAAATTTAGACTTCATACAGTAAACTAATAAAATGAGCTTTGAATTTCCTCACAATATTCGGGTTACAAGACATGTTCATACATGATTCCCTATGAGAAACAGAGAGGGGTCTGCTATAAAGTCAACAGATCCAAGTCAAAGGATCAGCATGACTCATTCAAGATGGGATATTCCCAGTTTAAGACGTTTATTCAGAAATGTCTCAGTAATCTAAATTCTCTGGAGGATAAGTGCTATTATGTAATGTACCTCTGATTTGAAGACTTGCAGTCATTCGTAGTAACTTTAATAATTTTTTTATAAAGTTTGTTCAAATATAAGTCAGCAGTCTTTGAGTGTTTGAAGCTGAGTCAGAACCGCCTCTACTCAGATCATCAGAGGATCAGAGCATTGCAGATGCTTACAGATGAAGGACCTGACTTTGGTGAAACTTCTATATTAGAAGTGAGACAACTTTCCTTGAGATCCATTTGTAAACATCTTATATAATAGCAAAGCACTGACATTTCACGGCTGTGGAGAATATAATACAATGATAATGACTCGCCACCTCATACTGCAGCAAAAGAATCGCAAAGGAAGCGCCTGCCGCCTTTGTTAGTCATTTAGGTTGAACTCTGTCAGCCTGAAGGTTGAAGAGGTGGGAGTTGGTCACTTAGAGAGAGCCACATTGATCTGCTAATTTCTTAACTTGCATATGCATGACATCGATAAAGGCCAGAGGCGTTTTTTGCAATGTGTTGGATGACTCATTGTATTCTTCCCTCTCAGAATTAGCACATCCAATACATCTCGGTTCAGCACAATGCCACTCTGAGAACATCACTTTCTTTGCGCGGTTGTTGTCGTCCCACTCACTGAGGATATCATTGTTTATTAGGTCATAGAGTGGCTTGTAGTTGGAGGTTTTTTTCATCTACTGACAAGATGTACAACATAAATTATCCTTTAATCTGTATCTGTATCTCAGATGCATAATTTTCCCTGAAATTTAGTCTAAAAGTGTATTATATTCTGAATTTTAATGAACTATACCTCATTAAAAATAAGCCCATTAACATTATATTCCTTAAAAAATGTAAATAGGCTTATTTAAACCTTATTTCAAATTTAGACTTCATACAGTAAACTAATAAAATGAGCTTTGAATTTCCTCACAATATTCGGGTTACAAGACATGTTCATACATGATTCCCTATGAGAAACAGAGAGGGGTCTGCTATAAAGTCAACAGATCCAAGTCAAAGGATCAGCATGACTCATTCAAGATGGGATATTCCCAGTTTAAGACGTTTATTCAGAAATGTCTCAGTAATCTAAATTCTCTGGAGGATAAGTGCTATTATGTAATGTACCTCTGATTTGAAGACTTGCAGTCATTCGTAGTAACTTTAATAATTTTTTTATAAAGTTTGTTCAAATATAAGTCAGCAGTCTTTGAGTGTTTGAAGCTGAGTGATGGTTTAATTATAGCAAAGAGCAAGTTATTTACATCAGTGGAGACATTTTTTCCGCCAATCAATCCAAAGACAGAGCATCCTGATTCCTCTCTTCTCTTGAATTGATAGGTCTCAGGATATTTCTAACTTTTTTTTTCTTTTGTCAGAAGAGCAAAAGGTTAAACAAGTGAGAAAGACAATCACATTTCTTCTCTAATTCTTAGCGTATGGTTTGCTGCTGTAGAAGTGGTGACTCTCACAAGAGTTCCAGACCTAAATTAGCGCAACTAGTGTTAAATAATTATTTCTGCATGTTGACCAATATTGAGGGATGCTGTGAAATCAGCCTGAACAATTAAAAAGTTCGTAACTATACACTGTCCATCATAACTGACACATTTATACAGAGCATTTGGAAATTTGACATTGACTACATAAAGAATAAACGGAACAGTTGTAAATAACATATCTGTACATTCATTTAAACAATTATATGTACAATAATTTTACAGACATTTTCATTAAAGGTTTTACAGAAAAAAAAATATTGTACAAATCTTTTCTTGTTTCAATTATGATATTTTACTTTAATTTTACGTTTTTTGTTTGGCAGCCATAGCTGCCAGTCATTTGACCGTTTTTTTAAGGAACTTTTTTTTTTTTTTTTTACAGAGTAAAACCCTTATTTTACAAATTTTTCCTTGTTTCAATTACGATATTTTACTTTAATTTGACATTTTTTGTTTGGCAGCCGTAGCTGCCAGTCATTTGATTTTTATTTTTTTACAGTGCTTGTGTGTGTAAACATGGTAATAAAGCACTTTCTGACTGCTGAAAGTGTGAAAATGGAAAGAGCAAGAGCTTGCCCCCAAACTTAAACGAATAACACTGATCACATTTAACAGACTGATGCTAAATAATTCCTTTAACATAAAGTTAGTTTGTCTGTATTCTGTTTTGTCTTAGTACTCAAGCTATGGAAGACTGTTTCTGCCTCAGGTAATTATGCCTCAGATAAAGTTTAAGATATAAAGTGTCCAAATTGCTGAAAGAAAGAAAGAAAGAAAGAAAGAAAGAAAGAAAGAAAGAAAGAAAGAAAGAAAGAAAGAAAGAAAGAAAGAAAGAAAAAAAGAAAGAAAGAAAGAAAGAAAGAAAGAAAGAAAGAAATATAATAAAAATATAACAAATAAATTCATAAATGAATCACTTATTTGTAGAAACAGACTCCCAAACCAATCACCACATTGTTATTCTTTTTATTCAACGCAATGGGAAGTGAGCCTATAACAAATTACACTTGATGTTGAGAATTTAATTTAAACATATGATTTTCATGAGTACTTTAATAAAAGCCTATACCGCTGTGATTTTTCCGTTCATAATAGTGAGTCACATTCATGAATCATCTTACAGATTGGCAGTGCTGATAACAAACCCTGTTCTCTTCTGAACTCAGGCGGGGAAAAAAAAGACTCCGGCAGAACATGGCGTTCAAACGTTTTACTCTTGACTAACAACTCAACATGTTGTTTGTTTTGGATGTGTTCTTGGCATTCATATTAGAACTACACATCCTGTTTGATTGCTCTGGTCGGGTGTTTCCAGGGGGGATTGTGGAAGGAGACGGAAGATCAGAGACATTGCCGCAGGTGACAGAGTCTCACATAAAAGCATCATCTCTAGAGAGCAACAGGAGGGAAGGGAATAGAATAACAGAGGATTTTAACAGACCTGAAACTGTAAGACTCTATAGTCACATACCAGCTGAGCCAATCTGAGCTGATGTTGGACTGCAGGTAATATTGAACACAATTCCTATCATTCAGTCAGCACTTTCAATCATCAGTACATCCTTGAGCCAACTCAGATGAACTGAAAATTGACGTTTGATGGAATCTGGAAAAACAAAGCTGTGGTGATTGAGATGTCAGTTTTAGTGTGTTTCATCAAATGAAACTCCTCCATTGAGAGTGAACATCACTAGGACTGTCATCTGTGGTCATTCTAAAGCCATCTTCTTTCTTCTCCACAAGATGTTTTCTGTTTTGTTCTCACACTGAAACACAATTTAAGATATCACTTGTTCTGGAGAAATCTGGGGTTAAAGGAATAGTTTACTTTAAAAAAACAACAATTCTGTCATCATTTTCCCGTCACTGCAAACCTATATGACTTACTTCATTCTGGAACATGAAAAAAAAAAACATAAAACATGTTTTATATATATATATATATATATATATATATATATATATATATAGTTTCCTAACACTTTTATTATATGAAAACATCTGAAAGGATATTCTTTAATATTTCATTTTCCATGGAAGAAAGAAACGTCTTTGGAAAGAAATGCATCTTTAGAATGACATCCGAGTGAGTTAATGATGACAGAATTTTCATTTTTGCCTGAATTTTTCCTTTTAAGTATCTTGCATGAAGGATTTAGGTTATGTATCTCCTCTTGTGGATCTATATTCCTTCCAGTCCCGATCTTTGACCACCTTCTGATTGCCAGGGCTGCACGTTCTGTACCAAAAGCATAGTGGATCCAAACAAACTTCATATGAGGACTGAGATTTGTAAGTGTCATGAAGTTCTGACAGTCAATATCTGACCTGCTAGAAAATGAAGTTGTGAGAAAAGAGGGGCATCAAAGAGCTCCTCATCCACACGCAATCACACAGGCAGTCACCCTCTTTATCTTACTGTCACAGGGATGTCAAAGAGCTCATGAAAGAACAAAGAGGAAGAAGTGGACTCTTTCTGGACTGAGATATTGAAGCCCACTCACCTGTTTCCTGTCCTTTTGTGCAGGAGGAAGCAAGGCCCTCGAACGATCTGCAATTTTCTGTCATTGAAAATAAAAAAAATTACATTAATATGCAAATACAGCCAGGCATGTGACAGCAGCTGAGCTAAATAGAAGTTCAGTGGATTCTTTTTTCAACGGTTTACATTATTGCTGAATGAATGGGCTGCACACATATAGTCGAGGAGACTGGGGACTATTTTAAAACTAAATGTCTTACAACATGCAGTTGTACAGCACATGATCAACAGGGTTATTTCTCTGGCAGGAAAAAAAAAAGTGCAATTGCTTCACTTTGTGAGAATAAAACATTTTGAGATATAAAACCTATTTTGAGTATCGTATTTCTGTCCAAAAGTATGATAACAACTACTTTTTTTATATATGCTCACTGTCGCTGGAAACTAAAATACACAATTTTATCTTGTGAGAATGGAGGCAATTTTAACTAATTACAATGTTTTCAATGTAAGAAAACATCTTACACTGGACATGGCATTTGTCATGTCATGACGCGCCACAACAGCTAAAGTCTGTCTACACTGGACGACAAAACGACAATTACAAATCATTTGAGGTGTGTTCCATTCAACCGTAAGTGGACTGCGAAGTGGACTTCACAAGAACATCCGCCTTCTTATGTGAGATTCCAATCCGAAGGGATTGAACTTGTTCAGTTCAGAGGGCATTGCGAACGGCATAGGGAATAAGGGAACATCGATACATCACTTCACAGAATGTGGAGAGTCACCCAACTGTCATTGCACACCGCGTCACCAGTTAGAAGTAGCGATTGAGCAGAGCCATTGAAAGCGTTTTTTTAAAGGCTCTGCAATGGAGGGGTTGCAATAAATGTTGTTATTACTATACAAACTAGAGCAGGGCTGCCCAAACTCGGTCCTGGAGGGCCGGTGTCCTGCAGAGTTTAGCTCCAACTTGCCTCAACACACCTGCCTTTAAGTTTCCAGTATGCCTAGGAAGACCTTGATTAGCTGGTTCAGGTGTGTTTAATTGGGGTTGGAGCAAAACTCTTCAGGACACCGGCCCTCCAGGACCGAGTTTGGACACCCCTGAACTAGAGTATTTATGAATGGTTATGGCAATGAATGTTACATTTGCATATTGTATTGTATGATTAGATGAAACTAAGTTAAATCGCATGGGAAAGAAAGCGCTCAAGATTAGACTTCTACAATCTGTTAATAGTCCAAACATAACTTTTGAAAATATTTATTAGATACACAATTATATATGTATTTTATATATATTTAAATTTGAAAGTAAAATAAATTACAATATTTGTTATATCATAATCTGCGTGACTACGTTGCCTTTCTTTGATGACATTCTAGGGCGTTCCAAATGAGCGATTATTGTCAGCGAAGTCCACTTCAACGAATATCCCGTGCTAAGTGAGTAGGGAGCAGTGAACACTGCGTAGGGACCCTGTCAATCGGAATGCACCTTTGTACTTTGTGGTTTTTGAGGTATCAGTTTACTCTCAAGGATTTGCCGTGTTACGTCGCATACACTGTAGACATCATCACTGATTATAATGGGATCTATTGTCTTTTTTCGCGATAAAACAAAGATTATCGGAGTATGTTTTACAAGATACTATTTAAGTTTTTCTACTTCAAAATTTCAAGTTTAAATCAATTAGTTACTTGCTGTTTGTTTGGAATTGTTTGTGAAATTTGCCAGCAATTTTTGAGTGAAAATTGTTTATACAACACATTTATTTTTCTTTATAGCTAAAAGAAAAAAGTACCTATTGAGTAATATTAATTTGCATTATTTCTAATATCAAGATTGACAGCTGTTGCAGAAAATTTTACAGCCCTAATCACGTTTGTTATTTTGTGGACAAATAAAGGAAAGCCAGTGTTTCATGTGTACCTTCTGCAGGTCTCCATAACGCTGCACAGAATCGGATAGCTCTGTTTTGAGTCTTGTCAGACGAAGCCTGTCTTGCTGTGAGGAAACAAAATAGCATGATTTTAAAATGAACGTTGGTTCAGTTTAACATCGCCATACAGTAACTTTACCGTGACAACATTTTATTTTTGTCAGTACAAATGCCAGTGGAATGCTTCATGATATAAACCACCATCGCTGGCTATACTTATATAAGAATGATTGTTCCAGCAAAGAAAGAAAAATGAGAGATGCAGAGAAGATTTATTTTACCCGTGAAGACCCGCTGATGATGTCAGTGAGTTGTTTAACAAGTTGGCTTGTGCTTGTTATGACTTTATTGGTTTGCTGCTGTGTGGAATGTCTGAAAGAGAGGGAGAAGAGTGAGAAGGGTGAAAAGACAGGTAATCATGCTTTACAAACCACAGAAGACGATTCAAAACGATTCATTAACTATCCCAAGGTGCAATGCTCTCCAAGCTGGGCTAGGTTTACAGCCCTATTGGATGGATTAGACTCAACCAATTAAGTAAATCAATATTAATGACTGTGCGGCAGAGGAACAGCACTGTGCAGTGAGGGACTGTGTGTCATGACTGCAGAGCTCAGATGATGTCAGGAAGGCTTTAGGCTCCAGGCAGGAGTCAATCTGCCGCCCCGGAGGAGAAGCAAAGGATTAGACGCTGTGTACAGAGACAGCAAATCAAACGGAGGAAAGGTAGCACAGCGCACTGAGAGGTTTGCTGTACCGAATGTATTAATAGAGCAGAAGAAATCAAGATTGCATAAATTGGGTTTATGGAGGGTAATATTTATGATCGCATACATAAACGGGAAGAAAGAGACCAATCCACAGTACTGTCTAACATTTGCATAAGGCTCCAGACCAACAGGGGGTCCCTAAAGGGTTACAGTAACGGATCATATTTACTAGATTTCAGGGTTGTGATTCAGATTTTAATTGAGAAATTTGAATTGGCGTGGCAAACCAGATGCAGAATTGCAATTAAAATTTAAATGGAAATAAACTTAAAATGAAATGCAAAGTTTTTCAAATTTTGAATGTTGGCTTGACAAAAAGTTTTAGAGCTTAAAAAGCCTTGAAGTTTTATAAGGTATATAGAGTATACAGACAGATGCATTACCTTACATTTCTTTGAATTGACAAACAATTCCTCTTCCTGTCATGGTGATCCAAACTGAAACTGTACAGACAATTTGATTCAAATTCACATTCATGTATTGAAAGGAAGCCAAATCTTTAATTCCGAAATTTGTTTTATGCCAAATAATACAGCAATGTCAAGTTTAGGTGCTTGCAAGTTAAAAATGTGATATGTTGCACATAATGTCTATTTTAAACCATTGACCAATCAAAGCAATCTAGGGGTGGGATAAATGCTGTATGGGATTTCATGCACCCATAAGTGCGCCTTTGGTTCACTTCTATTCCTCCATCTAGCCATTTTCTTAACGCTAGAATGCTTTCTATGTGAAGAGCCCCTGAGACATCCGTGCCCTGGGTACGTCAATGTCATAATCCATCTCTGGAATGGGGGTGAAAAAGGAGGAAACGTGGCCCAAAAAAGACCGGAAAGGAGGCAAAAGTGAGAGAATTAAAGACATTGAAAACTTGAGCCTGGCTGTACATTATTTGCAGTTCTGAGCTGGATGGAAGATAGAAGGGAAAAAGGGGCCAACGGGTCAGAAGCTGGTGAGCAAATATAATCTCCTGATAGAAATTCCGCTTTCTCCTCATGTGGAGCGAGGGGTTTGGATAAGACCATTGATTTAGTGTCTGTGCCCTGCTCCGTCTGATCCCTTCCTTTAAAACTCAAACCAAGACCACCGGCCATAGTCCCTCCTGGTCCCCAGAGATATGTGGTGGTGAACGTGGGGCCCACCTCCCACTCAAATATTGATTTAAAAAGCGAGGAAGGAAACGAGGAGAGAGGCGTCAGGCAGAAACATCTCTCGCGCATTCGTTATGGGTGGGGGCATGTCACTGTCGTTCTCAGTCCACAAGAGAGAAACGAGACCAGTCGAGCGGAAAAGCACCTGTAACAATAGCGGTGGCAGCAGTCGTGCTATGTGAACAAAAAAACCAGAGGTCCACAGTGAACATTCTAATCACACACACCAGAGAATAGGGGAACGTGGCTGAGCAGTTCGACCATAAAGCTTAACTTTGGGCACTTTTTTTAACCTTATCGGGCCATTTCAAGGCTGAACATGAGCAATGACTCACTCCTCTACAGTTCTGCATGCATGGACTTAATATTGCTGGCTGAGATTTTTGGAGAGAGCATAGTTTCTCCTGCCTAAAAGTGTACTACAATGATGGCTAAAATGTAAAAACTTTTTTTTTTCTCCCCTCCAGTACTTTTAATTTGAAGACCCCTCCTGGCATTGCTAATCTGGAATAACATGGTGAGTCAATAATGACAGATTTTGGTGAACTATACCTTTAAGAAGTCGACAATTTGAAAATCACAAGCATCACATGCACCAACACAACACTGACTGAGGCATAGACAAAAGGTCAGCGTGGCATCATTTGCATACGTGTTATGCCATTGCCAATGTCACATTAGCAGTAGTTAACCTGGTGCCCGAGATAACAGAACATAAATGTCCTCTGTGAAATGCAGTTACTGAAAAAACTGACGAATATTCAACAAAGAAACAGAGGCAGAAAAGACTAGGGGGAAAGAAAAAAGACCAGAAGGACAAGGCCAGGCCACAGAAGACTTGCTTTACTCTATTTAAAACCAATCCAATCGGAGGAGGGAAGAAAGTCCCATTAGGACAAAAAAAAAACAGGAAACAAACCTCTGGTGAGAGACATTTTTTGCTGCCTGTGATAAATAAAAATGTAACTGCTATAAATCGTTTTATAACTCAAGAATAATGCCTTGGTTTAGTCATGGCAGTTGTACAAATAAAGCCCTTTGAAACGTCCATGACTCAACCTCATTATATTGCACACTGTGATCCACAGAACACCTTCAATACGCCCTCAATGACAGCTTCCTGTGTTCCCTCAACAGTAACATGTGAAACTCAATATGGCCTACACAATCTCAAGGGTCACCACGCAGCGGTGGAAAAGTTCTGTTATTACTCATCCCACATATTCAAAATCCAGCAGTTTATTTCCCCGAATGCTGTTTAGTCATGGTCCGCATTTAGCATGTTTAGTGTCTGTTGAGTTGGCAGAGGAGTATTTGAATCTTCCTCTGCTTTGACTGCTACTGGAGATCATTGAGTGAATCTATGAGAAGATGGAAAATGAGGAGGCCAAGGCCAAACAGACAACGATAGACATGGTAATGGCACAATTGGAAGCCATGGAAAACTTTCAGATGCTTACTTACACTCTTAAAGGGGTCATATGATGTTGCTAAAAATAACTTTATTTTGTGTATTTGGTGTAATGAAATGTGTTTATGCGGTTTAAGGTTAAAAAACACATTATTTTCCACACACTGTACATTATTGTTTCTCCTCTATGCCCCGCCTTTCTGAAACGCATCGATTTTTACAAAGCTCATAAAAAGTGAGGTGTGCTGTGATTGGCCAGCTATCCAGTGCGTTATGATTGGCCGAATACTTCAAGCATGTGACGGAAATGTTACGCCCCTACCATATTGTGATGATGCCCTGTCTGGCCGGAGCGACGATTCAAAAACATGAAAACCCATTATAAATGAGGCATTCATAGCATCCAGTGGGGACATAATTATGGATTATAATGACTTATACTGTCTTTTTACGCGTTGCGTTGCATCGCGCTGCGTAAATATAAAACCATGTCTGCATTTGTGATCGGAGAAAGGACAAACAACAAGTGTTACTCTACACTGCCCAAAACTCGTGTTTGAATCATCAGTGGCAAATTCTTTAAATATAAAAAATTTACTTACAGTCTGTGAGTCAGAACAGCCGGCATTGTAGTCTACTCTACCAGGATCAGGAAACGTCCTCCATAAAATGAGCTGCACACATCTGAATATTTGGGTTGAAGTGTTCTGGAACAGTGTTGTAAATACAACTTAACCACTGATTTCTAATCGTGTCCATTTTTGGAAGGCCAAACAAAGTAGCTTCGCTTTCACAACGAAACACAACATTACACACGGCAGCCTAGAGTGAGCGGTGGCGGCCTAGAGTGAGCGGAGGCCGGTGGGCTTGAGAACGGCGCGGCCGGCGGATTCGACGAAGGACCATCCGGAGGGCTTGCGGCAACCACATGTGACGACCCCGGGCTGGACTCCGCTTCATCCACGGTGAAAGCCGACCCAGCGATCCACAGCGCAAAGTTGTTGTATTTCCTCAGCAACCAGCACGGATCAGCTCTAGGCATGACGAAGCGGATATCGTCCTCTTTTGGAAGGCCAAACAAAGTAGTTTTGCTTTCACAACGAATCACACAGTGCCTTCATGACATGGCGGCGGCAACAATACTACAGCGAGAATAAAAGTTACGCCTTCTTTCTTTGCATGAACATTTGGGCAGCGTTATGCAAATCTTTCCACATCGTGACGTAGATATGTGGGGGCGTGTTAGAACGAGCAATTTTAGGTAGGTGTGGCTGACTCTTAACTTTTATAAAGAATATCTCTTTGGATTTTAAACTTTAGTCTTTGCAACTTTACAGATCTTCTTTATGCAGGGAAAATTTAAATCGAATCATATGACCCCTTTAAAAGTGTCCAAAAAAAGGGGTTTTCAAAGCAATGCCATAGAAGAACAAGTTTTCAGGTTCTCCAAAGAATGTTGCAAAAAACAGTTCTTAAAAGAACCATTTTTTTCTAAATGTGAATAATCTAAAGAACTATAAAAATCTTTTGTGAAATTGAAAGACTCCATATTGGCATTGATGCCAATGAAGAACCTTTAAGATTGTATGGCAAAGTTCACACAAACACACTTGTGTTTGATTTAGAGATAAACGTCTAGTAGGGGGAAGTTGTCACATGTTTGTAGTTGATTACAATTAAAAAAAAAAAAGGTTTTCCACAACAATCACTTCATGAATTTAATGTTTAAATTCTGATGAAAAGCATATAATAGCCCTGCTTTAGGGCACATAGTCACATAAGCTAAACATGAATTTAATAATTAATTCAAGACTAAGGTATGTATGCAAAAAGAAAACCCTGAAAAATATTGACTGGAGTAAAAAGTGTGACAGCTTCCCCCAGTTTCGCCCTCTGTGCAGTTCTGCAATATCTCACACTCACAATCTTAACAGACAAACTTTGTAGTTCCACGCTGCCTTGCATAACCTTTACAAATCTAATTTCAAATCCTGACTTGATACCTGGAAGTCAGAATGTAACACAAAGATACTTGTTAAA